GTTTCTCGGTTTATTGCTTCACCCCTAATTGATGCACATTGAAAAAAAAGATAATAATAAATGAGATTGAATTCAGCCAGTATGAATGATTTATTGCGTTTAGATGATATAAAGTGCTATTAATTTTTTCAAAGATTCAAAATGATAAAATTTTACATTTCAAGGGTGCAAAGAGAAATTAACGGTAAACATAAATTATGTTATGTATTAATAAACTCCACTTAAAAATGACGAGGGAAGCTCCACTCATTTCACAACACTCTTCTCTCTCTCTCCTCTCTTATTGATTTTCGGCCTCTGATTTTCAATCGTCTCTCGCTGTTTCAGTAACTGTTCACTGAATCCCCAAAGCTAAGATTCAAGATCAAGGGTTTTTGGGCAATTGAATTTCATCGTCTAAGTGTCAAATCGCCCCCCTCAGAAAAAATCAAAGGTATGCATCGAATCCCGATTTTACACATATATGAGAACTCACATTCCTGTAAAAGTGATTATTATGGTTCAAATGATGCTTCCATTTGCAAAGCGTTTTGATGAAGATTTTAGGGTTTTTTTTTTTTTTAATTCTAATCGAACTGTATTTTGAAACTTTGTTCGAATCTTATGTGGGAGTGGAGAAAAGAATCCGATTCTAGTGTTTTCGTTTATATGAATGTAGATAGGGTTTGCGAATTGGGTTTTTAGAATTCCCTCTCTCAACTGCTCCATTCTCTGGTGAGAGTAGAAATTTCAATACACATTGATTTATATTTTGATGTTAGTAAATTATAGTGTAGAGTAGCAAATTAGGTACATCAATGTCGATTTGGCGTCTTCGATCTGTATTTGATGCCGAAATTTTGGGGCGGGCTGTGATCGTGATCGTTACCAAGTATAAGGAAAATGGAAGAATTAGTTTTTTGTCTTCGTTACTTATAAGTTATAACTAGATAGCTGTAGAATTCATTAGTATTTAGTACAGAGTAAGTGAAGCATCCAATATTGACAAAATCATTCATTCTTGC